CAACACACAGATGTCACATGCACCCAAGGACCACCCTGCGCCACACCCAGCTCACAGCAGCGCAGCTCGGCTATGGCTGCCTGCTCCTTCCAGCTTGCCCGTGAGCGCGTGAGCGCTGGCCAGCTTCAACACAGCAGCGCTTGCGCAACATGCAGCCAACACCCGAATGCCACATGCGGAGGCAGGCCTTTTACTATATGGAAGTGGCCTGCCTGCATTCTGTCCCTGGCTGCGCTGGGCCTTTCCCAAGAAGCTCTGGTAGGCCCCGGTAGGCTGAGGCCCAGACCGAAACAAATCAGGCCCAGGGCCTGAGGTGGTTGTTTGCGCCCAACTGCCTTTGGCCTGTGTTTGGCCCACATCCCATATCCATCCCAGGGCCTGCCTTCGATACATGCAAACAGGCTGCCCAACGCCTGGGTTCTTTCAACCAACTGGCGCTGCGCAACTGCCTGAATTTCCTTAGTTGCGTGGTGGCCGAAGTAGGCTCCCTCAGGTCCTCGTCGAGCCTGCCCTCACTTAGGGCGGCCGACGTGCTGCTTGACAGGTCCTGGAAGGGGCACATCGAGGTTGTGGCCTCACATTCCCTCCTCCATAGCTTCAACAGTCCTCTGAGAAGCTCAATCTTCAATCATCGGGCACTTTCCCTTCTGCAGAGATTTCTCGTATTGGGCTATAACCTGAGGAGCGGTCTGCATGAGTTCCTCCCTGGTGAACCATCGATCTTCCTTTGGATCAATATGATGCCGGAACCGAACGCGGTACTACAGCTTCGGTTTCAGAGGACGTCCCCTGCCGGTCGGTCTTGGCACTGGCAGCTCCCTGTGATCCACGATGTTATCGATATCCACCTCTCCGTCCATGGTTGGGGGCAGCATCGAGCGACAAGAGGGAAACTGGTCTGTTTCCTTGAAGGGTGCAAGCTTAGAGGCGTGAAAGACAGGATATGTGTGGAGATGACCAGGGATCCGGATTATGTAAGAAGGCCCGTCCGGATCCGTCCCGACTATATCTAAGACCTCCCATGGTCCAAAGTATTGAGGCATGAGCTTGTGGGAGATCCCGTGCTCTTGTCCCAATTCTGAGGACTTTAGATGGGCGGCGGTGTCCGTTTTCATATTCTATCATTGCCGCCTGTGCTCTTTGCATCTGTTCTACTGCCTGCTGCATCTTCTATTCGTAACGATAAGCAAACTCTAAGGTACCCGGTGCAGCAGTTGGCTGGTTCTCAGGAAGGAGAAAATCTAAGGGCAGTCTAGGCTTGAAGGTCAGTAGTAAGCCGTTTGGGCTCACCCCGGTGGCGCTGTGCACAACATTGTTATACAAACTGGCGATGAGAGCAAGCTTCTCGTCCCAGTCGACCTGATTGGGCTTGATGTAATGCCGCAACAGGTGTTGGACAGCGCGATTCACTTGTTAGGCCTGGCCATTGGCCTCGGGTTGGTTACCCGAAGTCATCTGCAGCTGCGTTCCCTGTTCGGCAACAACAGCCTTCCACAACTCACTTGTAAATCTGACATCCCTGTCACTTACGATTGACGTGGGTAGACCAAAATCTCTTACCCAGTTCTCTTTGAACAGTCTGATAACGTACTCGGTTTTCGCTGTCTCCGGCATGGCTATCAACCTAGCATACTAAATATGTCCACGATGACAAAGATATGTCTCATCCCGCTCTTGCTGGTGATTAGCGTATCCATGAAGTCCATGGACAAACTCTCACCAGGCCTTTCCGGAATCGGAAGGGGCTTCAGGAGCCCACAAGGAGCCTGAGTACGTGGCTTGTCCCTCTGACAGACTTGACAAGTCTGCACGTACAGCTAGGCATCTTGCATCATCGTGGGCCACCAGAACCGCTGTTGCAGATTGGCTGCTATCTTTTTACAGCCCAAATGGTCGGTGGCATCATGACACTCATCTAAAAATAAACTATGCAAAGACTACTTATTTGGGACACACAATCGTTCATTCCCTGCCTTTTCAAGGAACAGCAAGTCGTTGACCAACTCAAACTCGGCAGAAGTCTTCTCATCCTTCGCCTCAAGTCTACGTATGATCTCAGACATGAACTGGTATCCGCAATAGGCTTCCACCAAAGAGCGAGTAACATCGTCCGTAATATCAAACTCAGTAATCAGCGCACCTGAGAAATCAGGTCTACACGACAGCACATCAACAACCTTGTTGTACTCGCCCTTGATGTACTGGGCCTCGAAGTCATACTGCTCTATGACTTCAATCCAACGCTTCAGAGCGTTGGAGAGCACATGTTGGGTTCTCATCCACTTCACCCGTTCGTTTTAACGAGCGCGTAGCAAAATGAGTGGGCACCCTGTTTCAACGAACAGCCTGTTTGTTCTTAGGTAAGCTTTTTTATTCATAAAAAATTTTATTTTTCTTTTGTTTTTTCTTGTTTTAAGTCCCYTTGGGCCGTTTAGCTGCACCCATCCATTTTTAAGAACGGGTTGCAGCAACCAACGGCGCGCCTGAACTGGCGCAGTTGGCGCCCAGGTGCGGGGGCTCGTTGGGGCAGTAGGGAAAATAAGCCTGTTGAGTTTGACTCTAGTTCGTCCTTGTGAAATAACTTAGAAGGGGGTGGCTGCTCGTTTTGAAAAAAACGAACTGCCCCTTCCAGAGAAACGAGGGGCTGGAAGAAAAAAAAAGGGAATGGGGAAAAGTAACAACCACGTACGTGGCCACGAGTGCGAAATAGGTGCAGGGGTAGAAGATTCTAGGGGTTGATGAGACTGCGCCTGTTCGTTTTTCAACAGATTGCAGTCTGGCTGGGTACAACCATTTCTTGGAGCACGTGGTCGGTAGGGAAGGCCAGGTGCTTCCGGGAATGGATGACCTTGGTTTCCCCAGGGGAAAACCAAGACATTGAGCTTCTGGTCGTTGATTTAGATCAAGGGCCAGAAGCACTGACGAATTTTGCCTGGTTGTGGGCAAAGTTGCTGCCCACATGCCTTCGGCTGGCTATAAAAGCCAGTTCCCCACCCAACAGCCTTGGCAGTGCTGCTGGGCCATTCACTTGAGTGAATGCTGGCTGGCTGCTACTGTGGTGCGGTGCTGCAAGAGAGGAGGGAGAGGAAGTGTTGTTGCAGAGGAGAATGGAGGTCTGCAGGGTGAGGGGAGACACTGTTGGAGGAGGATAGGTCAGGGCATCCATAGCCAAGGTCTGGAGGCTCTCCACCCCACCCTTGTGTTGGTGTTGTGGTGGTAAGGCTGCGTCAAGGCTGGATGATGCAGCAACCGGCAAGGGTCATTAGGGGTTACGCTGCCAAAATTTTGACTAGGCGGCGGTTGTTTTTTAGTGGGAAGTGCTGCCATTTTTTTGGCACGGCGGCAACAACACTGTCAGTGGGGAAATGCTACCAGACTGGCAGCACGGCRACATCGAGGCCTCCCTAAGGGGAAGTGCTGCCGAATTTGGCGGCACGGCAATGGCGGTGTATCTGGCGGGGACTATGGTGCCGATTTTRGCGGCGGCGKCAGCATTTTTTGTGTAAGGAAGTGTTGTTTGGTTGGCGGCACATCAGCCGCAACCTTTTTTTCTTTAGGGGGAAGTGCTGCCATTGTTTTTGGCATGGCGGCAGCAACACTTCAGTGGAAGTGCTACCTTTTTTTCGGCATGGCGGCAACAACAGTTTTCAGTGAGGTTATGCTGTGTATTTGGCGACACGGTGAGCGATGGTCACGCCGTTGGTTTTTGGTGTGTGGCGACTATGGCGGACCAGCATGGTATAGAGGTTAGACTAGCAATGGTGCACGATTGGGTCTGTGCGGCAGTGGTGCATGGGCCGGCAACATGAAGAGAGTGCGAAGTAAGTGCACACAACGGAATAGTCATTGGGGTTCGCGGCACATGCGGTTTTTAGCCAGGGCCACCTTTATTTTTTTGCGGTGTGCAATGCGAGCGGTTTTGAGTTTAGGACCATCTGATGTTGTGGGCGATGGTGTGGGACCGCCCAAGACCACTTGGGACTATTTGGGACTAGGTGGGACTAGTTGTTGTGATCGGGACTGGCATGTTGGTGTGATTATTGTGACTGGACGTGGTGATTATAGCGGTGCGGACTTGCGGTTGGTTGGGGAATATCATTGGTGGTTAGAGTGCAGTGGGACTGTTGAGACAGTTTGGGACATTGGCACCGTGTGAAAACTTATTCGTAGGAGCATCCTCTTGGGGGGCTATCTCGCTTGAGGTTTTTTGGGGCCCAATCTTTGTTCATTTGAGTACTTGTGGAGGACGCGGACCGTGGCTCAGGAGGGAGGCCACAACTGGTGAAGTTGTAGGCCATGTATTTTGGAATTAGGTGGCGTTTATTTTTTTTCTAGTGGCATCCTACTCGGCTTTCTTAAGTCAGTTGAATCAAACTTCACTCAAGGTCAATCAGTTGATTTGCTCGGATTTCCCTTCACACCTTTGTAAACCCACACTTCGCTTCACCCTGTTCATTGAATGTTAGTTGAAAAGGTAGAGGAAARTTGTGCGAGTCATGAATATGAATGGAGAAGTCTGACTTATGTGTGGGTTTGTATTGGTTTCTCTTTGAACTTGTTTGCTTCGGCTTGGTGTGCARGWAGGTAGAAGGATGCTTGAAAATGAGATTGGTTTTATCAATTCAAGAGACGGAAAAATATTGTTTTGTTTCTACCTTTCGTCTGTCTGTGTGTTAAAAGCATTTGTATCTTGAGGTGAATGATTTCAACGGGTACCGTGAAAAAAACTTTGTCTATATAATGAAGAATGAAGAATATAAGACTTAATTTTTTTTGAGGTTCACCCGTTCTATCCCGAAGGACCTCATTTGTCTATACCTTTCCCAAATACTCTCATTTTTTTTCTTCTTCAATTTCTTTTCGTCCAAGTTACCCTGAACTTAGGAGGAAAAAAAACCAATAAAATTTACTTGGGGTGGATATGTTCTCTCTCGAGGAAGAATTTGGGGCGGGGGTTCGTTACTTCAGGAGCTGACCCTGTTATCGACCCGGAGTGGACGTTATACGGGGGGGTTACTTTGCCGATTCGGTGGAGACAGCCCGACTTCTAAGATTCGAGTTTTGTGCTTGGACGAGGAGGAGGAGTACCCCAGACCACTTCATGTTGGGAGAGAMATGCAACACTTCAAACAATGCCCCTAATCAAGAATCATTCGCAAAGCAGCTTGTCATCCAAGAAGATTGAGGGAGTATGGAGGCAGGTGTGTGCGGGTCAAATCTTAGGCAGGTGGTAGGGTGGAATGAATAACTTTGGCAGCGTATCTCATCAAGGTAAAACTAAAGCAGTYTGACTACCTTGTCGACTGTATCTATGTTATTGTCAAAATCCAACTCCTCCTTGACGATCGTATGATTTTTGTGGAATTTGATCTGAGGAGGTCGGATTTTATTTTGAACTTGTGTTATTGAATATACTGTATGATGATTCAAATTATTCAGTTATCATTTCAGATTGGATATATATTCATGTCGTCTACGGTCGACGCCTTCTGATGTAATTATATGTGCGGTTGTTGTAACTTTCGCTTGACTGTATGTCTAAGGGACTAGGAAGATTTGGGTTTCATGCTTGMTGGAGACCGTCCTAGTCGACTGACGTCTGCTTTGTCCTAAGGGACGGATGACGATCGGGAACACTTGGCGTTAACCAAGCGTATCTATACTACAACGAACGAGCAAACGCCCTCGACTGATCTACCTTTGCAATTGCATTTAAAAGCTTTCGCACGTGGATTTGTAGCTCAGTAGGGATACGCCCCTAAGGGGGTCTGGTGATCAGTCCTAACGTAGAAGAAACTCCCAAGGAGATAGTGCCTCCAATGGGTGAGCGCCTTATAGATCGCATAGAGCTCCTTCTCATAGGTGGACTTAGCCAACTTCTGAGAGGGCATCTTTTTGGACATGTACTCTACCGGTCTCAACTTTTTCCCCTCCTGTTGTGCAAGTACGGCGCCTATGCCATATTGGCTAGCATCCGTAGTTACTATAAATGGCTTGTCAGGATCAGGAAGTTTCAAGACCTCATGATCCGTTTGTCCACTCCCATGGGGTGTCAAGGCGAGTTAGGTCAGTCAAAGGGGCGGCAACTCTGCTATAGTTCTTCACGAAATTGCGATAGTAGTCGGTCATCCCTAAGAAAGACCTCATCTCAGTCACAGACTGAGGACGCAGCCAGTCACGAATGCTGGCCACCTTCACGTCATCGGGCTTTAATCCCTCCGCGGAAATCTCATGACCCAAGTACAAGACACGGGTGCGGCCAAACTCGCACTTCTCACCGTTGATCTTGAACTTGTGTTGCAGCAGGAGGCCGAGGACTTTGTCCAGATGTGCCACATGTTCCTCGACAGTCGTACTAAAAATAAGTATGTCATCGAGGTACACGATGACAAACTTATCCAAGTAGTCATGAAATATTAGATTCATAGCGTGCCGAAAGGTGCCAGGAGCATTGCAAAGGCCGAAAGGCATCACCACAAACTCATACAGATCGTAACTGGTCTGAAAAACGGTTTTGTGTTGATCCTCGGGCCGGATTGCAATTTGATGGTACCCGGACTTCAGATCTATCTTACTGAAGTACCGACACCCTTGCACTCTATCTAGCAAGTCATTGATGCGCGGTAGGGGCTCTATGTTCTTGACAGTGAAGGCATTGAGGCAACTATAGTCAATGCACATCCTAAGTGTTCCTTCCTTCTTCTTGGGTACAAACAGGACTGGAGACCCATAAGGAGAACCACTCGGCTGGATCCAACCCTTTTCTACGAGTTCCTTGAGTTGTCGGCGAAGCTCATCAAGCTCTCCTGGAGACATCCGATAAATCCTTCCCTTTGGAATGCTAGACCCTGGGATAATCTCTATCGCGTGGACGACCTCCCTCTCAACAACCCCTGTCGGCTCTTCAAATAGATCAGGGTATTTAGCAACTACTCCCTCTATCTCCGGCGGCATTTTCACCGGCTCGCCTGCAGCAGAGACATAAACTAGATACATACCCTCCTCCTGATTTTGATTATAATAATTATAGAACGTGGCCGCACATATGCATCCATAGGACTCGATCCGACTACTAACTTTGAACTTACGTAATCTGGCGGTCCCTCCACCTGGCAAAGTGTGTTTGACCACTTTTCGGTCCCAGTCAAACTGGGTTGTGCCACAGAGAGGTAGTACATACCTAACAAGATATCCATGGGGAGTTCATCGCTCACTAGGAATGAGACACGATGTCTCAGTTCCCCTCCCGCTTACGGGAAACAACACTCAACATCCTGGAGTTAGTCGTTGACTACCATGCGCTGTTTGTTGGCACAGGTCGACTCCACAGGTGGACTCAGGCGCTGCACTTGCCCCTGTAAGCGCAGCCTCTCAATGCACACGCGACTAATGAAATTCCGTGTCGAGCAAGTGTCATAATAGGCCCCGGCCTTGCGGCCGCCAATGACCATCTCGTTGACAAACATCTCACCCTTAGGGGTTTTGACCAATGTCGTCCAAGAAGCTAGCGGGTTTGTTTTGGACTACTTTTCCCCTAGCTCCTCTAAGGACTCAAACACATTCATCGAACAGAGGCTCGATGGGTCCGAACGTGTTTACGAGACGACGATGGAGTCAGTAGCTTGGGCCATCTCTTGGGATGGTGAGGGTGTATCCACCACCTCGACCCTAGCAGGAACAACTATTATTCCTACTGGCCCGACGTGTTTCCCGGAGCAGTGCCAGAAGTGATAGCCACATTGCTGCCAACGGGAGTGGAGGATCCCATCGCCTGCCCCATCGTAGGCGGGATCTTCTCGGTCACCTTCTTGTTTCGGCACTTGGATTGGTTATGGCCATATTGGCCACAACGGATACAAGCCTGTCATGTGTACCGATCTCTCCACACGTCCTCAGTGAGACCCGCTTTCTCCCATGGAGGAGCATTGGGGTCAACTTGACTCCTTGACCGGGAACCTCCACGGCGTCTACCGGTCGCCTTACCTTTCTGTGCTACGGCAGCGACTTTTCCACCCCCTGATGTCATCCTCTGAACCTACTCCCACCTGGAAATCGTCGTCTAACTCGATGGTAGAACCATCGTTGTCGACGAACATGATGCGTCCCTTCGCCTTCCAGTTGGGAGACAGTGACTTTTTCCTACCATCCGTCGTGGGATTATGTCCATGCCCTATCTTTGCCTCAAGGTCTAGGGCCTTCTTGCCGAACGAGGGGAAGTTGTGCATATTGATGTTGGCCTCACCTGCCAACTGATTCCTGAGAGGCATGGGAAAGCATCTCAGGTAGGAGGTAAGTAAGACCTGGGGGTCATAGCGCACCCCAGGGACACAGATCAAACGCTCTACACCGTCAGTGGCCTCTCTTACTGACTTAAACTGTCTTGTGTGCAGTGTCAGGATCGCGTCAGTGGCCTTTTGGGCCTCCTGAGGACCGTGCCACCTGTCTTCCACCAACTTGAGAAAGTCATCCAATTTTTGGGTAACGCCTAAGCGCGAAAAGCATGGCCATACCCCTGTAGCTGCACTAAACCACTCAACCATCGTGCTGCACTCCCATCTAAATAGGAGGCTGCCACAAGCACTTCCTCGTGCGATAAGGTAAGTTTGCACTTGACATAGACCGGCACTGCCCTCAACCAAGTGTCGAGGCCTTCGCCCCTCTTATCCCCTGTAAAGGGTTTCGGGGCGGCGATGGCCATCTTCGGTACCCATTGACTTTGTCCCGATCCCTGCATCACTCCGGGTTGTGGACCCTGTGCTACAGGGTGCTGCACTGACTGCAGGGGCTGTGTACCCTGCGGCTGTATAGGCTGCGGGACAACAGGCTTCACGCTTACGGCAACCTACGACGGAGATTGGGTGAACACTGTCTGTACAGGAACCTGTAAACTAGGACCTGCTGAGAACCCGCCTGTTAAAGGCATACCCAGGGAGATAGGCTGAACCGATACTGGAGCGGTATATGGGGATACCCCAGTCACCGGTGGAACAAAAGGAGGAGGATGTACAACGGGCCAGGCACCAGGCCCGAACAGTGATGGTGCCGCCTGCGCTCATCCGACCAAGACGGCCAGACTCTGCTGGATGTCTTGTAAGATTGCCGTCTACTGGTCTCGCATCTCTACTACTCCTAACAAGACCGACCTCAAGGCCCTCACTGGATCATCCAGCTCTGCTGGGTCCATCTCCTCTAACGCACTAATGTCCGCTTGTCGCCGCCGCAACCTGGCTCTTCTTCTAATCATTCTTTCTTTTCTGCCTTAATCTCTCCTAAAGCCTTCTGTAGTTATGCCTCTTGCAGGGCAGCCTGCTGTATGGCAATCTCCTCGGGTGACAACACCACTGGCTAGCTTGCCATAACTCCAGCCGACCGACTCTGGGTTTGTGCAACCGTTGACCCTACAGACCCTGAACAGCTGGCCTGGGAACTCTGCGGCGCAGCAGTTGCCATGACCGCTAAGACAGCGGCTTCGCTTGCGAATGCTCTGCTGGTCTCTGCTGCCCTAGCCCTCCGCTGCTGCTGCTGCCTCTCCCTAAGCTGGCGGAACAAATATTTGGCGCCCTCTGGTCCTAAGGCCAAGTGGGCTATCGGGCGTCTAGCCGATCGCAAGATGCGGTCTTCCTCACTAGTGGTGTCCCTATCGCTCATATGCTACAAAACTACACACCGTCTACACTAGGACACGTAATGGATGCCTACCGCAACGACATGTACAAACCGATATAAATAATTGGCAACTATATTACAGACTAAACATTCGAGTCCAGAAGGTAAGTTCAGATTCCTACAAATAATACTATTCTACTTTGACTAGATCGCAAACAGAAAGCACAATGAACAGAATCAGTTCTAAACTATGCTGTCTGTCAGATGTCAATGGCAGTACATTTAACCCTTCAAAATAAAAATAACATCATTTGTTGGGTCTGTTTGCAGCATGGGATCTTATTCATACTTATCACCTTGAATCTACCCCTTCCCCAATTCCCCTTGATTGTCACTTGATGTCAGCGTCCCTGAGCAATCCGGTTTGGCGTGCGTGACTAAAGGTGTGCACACGGCCCACCCCTGTGCCCCAAGTAGCTGCTGAGATGGCCAGCCCTGCACTGTGTTTATCCTCGAGTGCAGCGAGCCTTACACCAATTGGCTGATCCAGAGGCAATTTAACGACCGCCCCCAAGTGTCATCAGGAATTATTTTACGTCGCAGCAGGACGGCGATCACAACCTATGGTTTCCCCAGCCGGTGTTTATTTATAGACGCCCGGTACTCGTCTCTCCCATAGGGCTGGCCTGCCGTTCAGTACCCCTTCTATGAGTGCAACAAGCAGACAAGGACAAAGCAGCAAAGCATGCGTGCTCTACTCCCGGTGGGTTGGCATGGTGACCGTGACCCAGTGCTCCGTTCAGGGCCCTTCAGAAAGCACTGGCCTCTCCTTCCAGATGCTCCACGTGAACAATGCTGACTCTCAAGGTTGAGCGCACACGACACCTCACATGAGAGGACTCTCAAGAAGGAACTCACAACCTCACAATAAGAAGTGATGAAGAGGGTAGATACGGTTAAGAGCAACGTACCTCATTATAGCTGCCCCCAACCACAAATATTCTCACCAGATGACCTGATGGCGATTGCGATGACCAGTCACTGCATCGGCACAACCAGCATTATCTCGTTGTTCCACCTCAGCATCAATCAACCACCAGATAGTTCTCATCACACTGCAAACACCCCGTATACACACCGTAGCCTTCCTGGCGATTCCTCTCTCCTCCTGGGTCGCCACACTTGTCTCCGCCCTCCTCACTACACACTGCCTACGCCCAGACTCACCAAGCAGACCGCATGTATGTACCGCATAGGCAGAAGACAGGCACCAGATGAGCGCACCGTACCACAGCTCCGATACCAAATTGCAAGGAAGATGAGCTATAGCGAACTTCAGCAATCAAACAGCATCATACACATAAGGCCAGATAGTCGTGACCTCGAACCAATAGCAGAATTGCATCACGAGTTTCACCAAATAAGAACACACCAAAAGCTCATAATTGACAATGCTGGAATAGTCTCATCATCATCATCAACGAAKAACCAATGTTGATATCCTATCTGGCGCTCGGCGCCCAGACTACAGATGGCAGATCCTATCTAGCCTAGACTACAATGCCGAAGATGACGACAACAGCTCTCCCGAAGTATGAGCAGATAGCTGCCAATGCCGCACGCTTCCAGCACCAGGTATGTCTCTTGCATCACTCACAACCTCGTTCCTCAACACACAGATGTCACATGCACCCAAGGACCACCCTGCGCCACACCCAGCTCACAGCAGCGCAGCTCGGCTATGGCTGCCTGCTCCTTCCAGCTCGCTCGTGAGCGCGTGAGCGCTGGCCAGCTTCAACGCAGCATGCAGCCAGCACCTGAATGCCACATGCGGAGGCAGGCCCTTTACTATATGGAAGTGGCCTGCCTGCATTCTGTCCCAGGCTGCGCTGGACCTTTCCCAAGAAGCTTCCGGGAGGCCCCGGTAGGCTGAGGCCCAGTCCGGAACAAATCAGGCCCATGGCCTGAGGTGGTTGCTTGCGCCCAACTGCCTTCGGCCTGTGTTTGGCCCACATCCCGTATCCAGCCCTGGGCCTGCCTTCGATACATGCAAACAGGCGCCCCAGGGCCTGGGTTCTTTCAACCAACTGGCGCTGCGCAACTGCCTGAATTTCCTTAGTTGCGTGGTGGCCGAAATAGGGGCCCTCAGGTCCTCGTCGAGCCTGCCTTCACTTAGGGTGGCCGACGTGCTGCTTGACAGGGCCTGGAAGGGGCACATTGAGGCTGTGGCCTCGCAAAATGCTATTATTAGAAATTCTCAGATATTTGTTGTGAGAAAAATAAAATAAAATTGCAGAGATTTGATGAAGTCTTACTTGATTTACTAATAAACAATCAATAGATCAAGCAAGCTGGCTACTTGATGGAGCAGGTCCTCTGATTGAGGGGTCCGCTCCGATACCAAACTGTCGCATACCGTGAAGGT